TTTTCTTCTCTCCCCAGCCCCTGCAAGCCCTTCTCTTCACTCTGAAATTTGTCTCTGATGTTTCAGGGAGAGCTCCTTCAGAAGCCAAGCTCTGAATTCCTAGCCCAGCAGAAATGTATGTTTTCTTTAGAAATACAATGTTTGAGGTCCTTTTGAAGCTGATGGCTTTGTCTGCAGCCTTCAAGGTGCGTGCTGAGGTATCCTTACCCGGTACTGTTATCTTTTTCTCCTGTCTTCACAGTTCCCTGTAATCATCCAGAAATACCTTTTGTCAATCATTATTCATTTATTTCTCCTTCCTTGACCTGACTGCGTACCGTGTTAACAAGATGGCTCTCAGGACTCATGCACAGGGCATTGCTGTCTTTATACCTGCCCTGCCTTTCCCCATACCAACTGAGTGCCACCACTTCCCACTTGATGAGGGATCTATTAAGAGACATTCTCCAAGGCTGTGAGAGCAGTGTGGGAGCTACTGCATGATCCTCAGGTGAAGTGTGTCTGTCACCTACACCATGTTCTGCTTTTTTCTTGGGATCTTGGTGCAGTGAGAGCAGCATTGAGTGAACAGTGTGTTCACAGTCCAGAACGCTCTACCCAAACTTATGCCCCTCACTGCAAGAAAGACACTAAGGCCCTGGAGAGTGCCCAGAGAAGGGCAGTGAAGCTGTGGAAGATCTGGAACACAAATCTTATGAGGAACAGCTGGGGGAACTAGGATTCTTCAGTCTGGAGAAGAGGAGGCTCAGGGGCCTGAAAGGAGGCTGTGCTGAGTTAGGGGTTGGCCTCTTCCCCCAGGTAACAGCAATAGGATGAAAGCAAATAGGATGAGCAATAGGATGAGGTCTCAAGTTGTGCCAGGGGATGTTCAGGTTGGATATCAGGAAACATTTCTTCTCAGAGTGGTGAGGCACTGGAACAGGCTGCCTTGAGAGGTGGTGAAGTCACCGTCCCTGGAGGTGTTCAAGAAATGCTAGGTGATGTACTAAGGGACATGATTTAGTCAGGAGATATTGGTGATAGGTGGATGGTTGTACTGGATGATCTTGGAGGTCTTTTCCAGCTTTGGTGATGCTGTGATTCTGTGAAGGTGAGAAGGTGGCAGCTATGAGCAGAGCATCTATTGGTTTGCCAGGAGCAGCTGTCTGGTAGCTAAGCCTATGCAGACTGTTGACATGTTAACACGACCTTCTAAATCCAAGTCCCACTCATCAGGCTCCAAACCGAATTCCTTTGGACACCTGAGTGTGTGAACTTGGACAGAAGCCTTATATTGTTGGATGATGGCTCCTTTAGGAACTTCAGGAGGAACTGAAATTTTGGGCTTTCAAAAAGAGCAGCTCTGTCTCTGTTATTGGACAATATGAAATCGCTGCTTTTCCCCGTGACCTTGTAGGAGTGGAAGAAAGGAAGTTTTTTCTGGTGAATGAGTTGTGTGGATAAAGCAAAGGCTTTGATGCTGGATGAGCTGAAAATGTTATTCTGTCATTGCTACCTTGCTGCATTGCTTTGGGGTCATATCTGTGTGCCACTTCCACATTGTTCTTAGTGTAGGGATGGCTGCACTGGTGAAATGCATGCTTTGTGCATCCTGTAGTCGGGCCTGCTAAGAGAGCGGCTCCCTGCTGCAGCCACTGATGAAGCAAGTTTTGGCAGTTGGAGTTTATCATTTTTCCCAGCTTACGTGTATTTAACAATTGGCTGCAGCAATGGCTGTTTAATTCCCTTGCTAACGTTTCCAGGGCAGCCATTTAATTTTTTTTTAAAACCCTCTTGCTTCTGGAAATCCTGTAATCAAATCCAAGCTCTGTCAATCTAATTAGTTTTGAAGTGCAGCATCTCCATAACTTGGAGACCTAAATAAGCAGCTTAGTATTAAAACCTAGTTTCTCTCCCCATGTTATGCTGCCTTATATTCCCCAGGAGAAGTTCCCACCAAACAACAGTCATTGTGACTGCTCCCCCTGTTCTCATTAAAGTCAGAAAAGACAACTAAGGCCACCCAGTCCAACCACCAACCTGTGCCCACTGACCATGTCCCTCAGTGCCACATCTGCACAGTTTGCTTGCTTAGAAGATGCTGATGCACAGAGAGGTCTGGGGCAGCGTGTAGCTTTGTGCTGCTTGCTGAGGGCTGCCCAAGCAGCTGGGGAGCTGCAGAGTTGGTGGTGTCATGGCAGCAGAGTGGTAGCACCTTGGTGCAAAGCAGCTTCCAGCCCTGACTGAGGGGAAGGGCTGGATATGGAGACAGTGAGTACTGGAATGAAGGTCCGGGTGAAGTGCTGCTGCAGCCCTTTGTCACCTTTGTCTATAGTAGAAACTGTGCAATTGAGAGCAAACCTCAGCTCACCAAAACAGAGTTGCGGGTGCCCTCCTCCCAAGGCAGCCCCTGTTGCTTGCTGCTTAGAAAAGCTGGTGTCCTAGGGAAGTGGTTGCAACCTTCTGTGCTTTGGCCAGACTCCCCGTGCTTAGGGGCTGCCTAGGGCTGGCCGTGTGGCTCACTGGTGCATCAGAGTAGAGATCCTCATCCACTGGCATCATACTCACCTCTACAAGCTGTGGGTGCAATCCCATGTAGCTCCCAGCAATGTTGAGTCTGGTTCCAGTCAGAGCCAGCATGTTTGGCATTTGTACTCCGTTAGGAGGCTTGCGCCCAGGGGATGGGGACTGAGCTGGCAGCCATGGGGAAGCTGTCTGCCTCCAGCTCCATACTGAGGGATGTAACCAGCTGCCTTTGATGCCTGAGCCAGGCTGAGAAAACCTGACAGCAGACTTCAAAGTCTGTTGTGCCAGCTCCTCCATTATCTGAACACTTCTGCCACGTCCCCCAGGACTGCTGGATTATCCTGGCTAATTCCACACTGCATCCCCTGTCTCTGCCTGGCTCCAACCCTTTGTGTTCATGGCTGTCCTTTCTGAATCTCTCTGGGGATGTGACAATGGGATTTTTTGGCAGGGACGTTTTTGGAAAGCTTGCCTGCAGAGTACAGAGGGCAGGTACTTGCTGGGTCCAACAGATGTGATCCCAAAGACATTTCTCAACTGCTGCTGGGCCTGTCTGGGTAGTCTGTCTTTGCCCTGGCTGAACAATGTGGAATGCATCCAAAAGAATGTGCAAAGGCAAATAGGGTGCAGGAGGAGGGGAAGTCATAGAGAATCACTAAGGTTGGAAGAGACCTCTAAAATCATGTAGTCCAGCTGTCAGTCCATCACAGCCATGCACATGAGAGTGTGTAATTCAGGGCAGTCATTGCCACGTTAGAGCCAAAGCCAGCTCTGTGGGTATGCTTGGCCCCACCTGAAGCAGAACGTGGCTGTGCCCTGCCATATATGCTGGGAAGTGGCCCTGCCACCAGGTCTGACTGTACTGGTGAGGTTTCTGTTGGCAGTGTATCTCTATAAAGGATACTCTGCTGATCCTCCTTTAGCCAACCCAACATGCCTATTGCTGCTGCCACACACTTGGTTGTGCTGATTTCCCAGGGAGGGAGTGAGGAAGCTTCAGACTGTGCAGTCCTGGGAAGAGGGAGCTGTTGTTTTTGTCTGCAGAGCATCGTCATTGCCCGTGATGGGGCTGGGCAAGGCAATCCTATCCTCCCTAGTTTCTCTATTGCGAATGTAAACAGTGGTTCATGCGTCATTAGCTGCAAGCTTGGACTGAAACTGTCCCTGTGTGTGCGTTTATCTGCACACTGACTGCAGGAATTTTGCCAAGGTTGGGCTCCAAATCTGATTTTCTTCTGTCACTGTGGCAGAGAAGCTTTTGTCTCCACCGAGGGGACGTGTGGGCTGGCTTGCCGTCAACAGGGCCACCCCCATAAACCTCTCAGTGGGCTGCTCTCAGAGCCAACCTCCTTCCTGTCTCTGAGGCAGTGCTGGTTTCAGCACCGTGCCCCTCTGCTCTGCTGCATTGCAACGCTTGGTGGCAGGGGACAGGTGAGATCCGATGGGACCTCTCCAACAGCTCGTCCCTGCGCACTGAGCTTGGCTCTCTGCAGAGCTGTGTGGTGCTGATGTGCAGTCAGTCAGCAGTCTGTGCTTCTGTCTCCTGGCCCCATGAGCTGTCATGTGAATCAGTTTCTGAAATGGGGCAAGGAGGGACCTCATGCTTGTTTTGGTTCGTTACATGAATCTCATTCCCTCTGGGAGCCCAGTGGGATCAAGCAGAATGGCTTGTTTGTTTTACAGCTGCTTTTTGCTTGTGAATCCCTGAGCCAATTTAGCAGTTCATTCGATACCTCAGCAGGCTGCAGGAGCAGCACAGCTCAGGAGCCACCTTCACACCGCTTTTCTTCCTGTAAAAACCAAATCGATCTTTTCAGAGAGAGCCTCCAGTTCCTCACCTTTGGCTGCTCCCTATCTGGGTCATGCCCTGCCAGCCTCCTCCGGTCCCAGCACATGCACTGTGCAGCGGGCCATGTGATGCTGGCAGCGGGATGCCACCTGTGCACAGGTGCTGTGATGCGCCCATGGTGTCTGCCTTCAGTGCAGAGGAGAGAGTAAGCTGCTTAGTATAACAGCAGGAGGCAGAGGGTTGGTCAAGCAAGGGGGCCAGCATCTTGCTCTGCCACACAGTGTGCTGTGTGTGAGCTGCTGCAAGACAGGAATGGGCTCAAGTTGTGCCAGTGGAGGTTCAGGTTGGATATTAGGAGAAATTTCTTCTCAGAAGGAGTGGTGAGGCAATAGCACAGGCTGCCCAGGGAGGTGGTGGAATCACCGTTCCTGGAGATGTTCAAGAACCATGTGGATGTGGCACTGAGGGACGTGGTTAGTGGGCATGTATAAGTCTGTGGCTGACTGCCACCTTGGTGAGATGCAAGATGTTGGTGACGTGCTCTGTTCCCCACTTCTCCCCGCCTTTTTCTCTAAGCAGAGGAAACCGCTGCCGGAGTCTGGCAGCTTCCTCCCAGCTGCTTTCAAAATTACAGGGTGGCTGTCACCATCACCCTGAGTGCCTTTCACTGCCTTCCTGGGGAAGGACTGTAGCAGATCTTGTTCACATGGGGCTGGTAGAGCATCAGGTGGCTGCCTTCCTCCTTTTCCTCCTCACGGGTGAGTGCACTGTGACAAGGACTTTTGGGGCGGATAAGTGGGAAGTAAAACTGTCAGGAGCCCTGTGTGGGTCACGTGTGCAGGCTGCCTCTTCTGGGCTGCTTTATATTCCTAAATCAGGGGGACAGGATGCTCCTGGGTGGGTGGCCCAAGAGTGCACCTCACTTGGTCTACAGGGTGAGGGCAGCCCTAGTGCTGTTGGGCTCAGAGCCATGGAAGCTGAAAGGGAGGGGAGGGTGTGCAGATGACCATTTCCTCCCCAGCTCTACTCTGTAAGCCCTCTGCAGGTTCCTGGTGCCCCTTGAGGTGTTTCTTGCCTCTGGAGATGCTCTTGCTGGCTCCTTCTCCTGTACCTCTGTGAGGCACTTCTGAGGTCACGTCCCTTTCTCCAGCAGCAGTTAGCTCTGGTTCCTGCTTCTTTCCCTCCGGCCTGCACTGAACCTGAGAGTTTGGTCCTCTTCAGCACACTATGGGCTTCCTCCAGTGGTTTTAGCCTGGTTGCTGCTCCATCTGAGCACTGTCTGAAATGCTTTCCAAGCAGAAACTTGATGACCACATGGCCATGGTGCTCTGGCCTCTATTGTCTGGCCTTGCTTGCTGGAAGACAAGTTTTCAAGTTTGTTGGCATTGGGCTTGTTCTTAACAATTGCAGGGGATGCTGAAGTTCCTTGCAGTTTTTGCACCAGGGAGGTTCAGGTTGGGTATCAGGAAAAACTTCTTCAAAAGTGTGATGAGGCATTGAAACAGGCTGCCCAGGGAGGTGGTAGAGTTACCATCACTGAAGGTGTTCAAGAACATGTGCATGTGGCTCTGAGGGAGGTGGTTAGTAGGCAATACTTGGTGGTAGGTGGATGGTTGGACTGAGTGATCTTAGATGTCCTTTCCAGCCTTAATGATTCGATGCTTCTTAGTCCTAGGGGCATTGTTCTTCGTAGAATGAGACCACACCCTAAGTCATTGCAGTATTATGCTACAGTCTCGTTGCCATTTTGAACTGCAATAATTTTCATTTGCAGTATTCTCCTGCAAACTTCATGCATGGTGTCTGTCTGCTGGCAGGTGTGGGCACTGGCCAAAGAGTGGTGACTATCCAAAAGGGGCCACTTTACCGTGTACTTGGCTCCCATGTGACATTGTGGTGCAAAGTGAGAGGCTACCAGGGCCCAGCAGAGCAGACCTTCCAGTGGTCCACCTACCCGCACACTGCTCCAGAGCGGGAGGTGCAGATCGTCAGCACCGCCGACCCCTCCTTCCCCTACGCCATCTACACCCAGCGGGTGCGCGCCCAGGAGATCTACGTGGAGCGGGTGCAGGGGGACGCGGTGCTGCTGCACATCACGGAGCTGCAGGACCGAGATGCTGGGGAGTACGAGTGCCACACGCCCAACACCGACGAGAGGTACTTTGGGAGCTACAGTGCCAAGACAAACCTGACAGGTGGGTCTCGAAGGACGGCTTGCTCTGTGGGGCCTGGCTGATTTTCCATTTTCTTACTGGTAGCGTCAAGGTGATGGTAAAGCTACCAGGGAGGATGTGCTGTTCTGTACACAGCGGCACGAGGGTGTGTATGGGTCTCAAGCTTGTACGGATGCAGACAGGTTTCCCACTGCAGATGGGGAGATGTGTTCATCAGCAGGTCTGTGGCACATAGTCTGCTGTGCCATAGCCCAACAGCCACATCCCAGCACTTATGAGAGAACGAGTTCTCAGGCTCTGAGCACTACCTGTTGGGGTCTTCTCCGGTCAGGAGATGGGTCTTGAACCAACATATACCCACATACTAATGATGACAGGGAGACAACAGGGTGGAGAACTAAAGAAAAATATCCAACTGTAAGCTCACTAAGTCCACATGGCCCATCTACTTCATATTCAACCTTGTGTCCTCCTTTAATCTGATACTGTGGCCACTTGGGCTCATGAGAGGCTGGATGTTAGCCTCCTTGGGGTTGCCCAGAGCTGCCCACACTTTCACTGAGGAGCATACTGCTGAGAAATATACCATGCTTTGTTTTCTGCTGAGGTTTTAAGCACTTCACACATTGATATGGGCTGACTGGGGCCTCTCCCATCACATGCAGCACCTACTTCCACTGCACTGTCACATTTCTCAGAGCCTGGCTGTGCTTCTTACACTGACCAACACATTGCCCACTGAGGCCAAGAAATGCTTTTTCTCCTGACCAGCTGTTCTGTGCTTCTCCCCTTGTGCTCAGTGATTGCAGATACCCTCTCAGTTTCCATGGGACCCAAGAACCTCACCCATGCTGAGGGAGATGCCATGGAGCTCACCTGCCTGGTGTCCAGGTCCACTGCCCAGCACACACACCTCTCTGTTGGCTGGTACTGCCTCCGGGGAGAGCACCGGGCTGAGATCCTCACCCTCTCCAAGGACTTTGTCGTGATGCCAGGACCTGCTTATGCACAGAGGTTTTTGGCAGGGAATGTGCGGTTGGACAAGGTTGGGAGCACCTCGTACAAACTCTCCATTGTGGCGGTGGAGCCTTCTGACCAGGGGCAGCTGTACTGTGAGGCAGCTGAGTGGATCGAGGATCCTGATGGGACGTGGAAGGACATTTCCCGCAAACAGTCAGAGAGGACATCGCTGGTGGTCACTCCCCAGGGTAAGGCCCTTGGCTTCAGCTGCTTTGTGCAGCAAAGGACCTACCGTGGGTGGTCTCTGCAGTGGTGTGTCGTGAAAATCTCTTTCCCCATGCTATAGTCTCTGATGCTTTGTTTTCTCCTATCTGACCTCCACCACAGCTTGGGACATCCCACTGGCTTTCTTTGGGTGTGCCACCTGGGCATCAAGAAGGACAGAGTGTCACTGGGGCCTGTGTTAGATATGGAAGCGTGTGAAGCCCAGGGCAAAATGCCTGCCCCGAGTGTCTGTCCCACCCCACAGCAGGGTCTTGCTGGGACCTGTGCTAAGTGGAGAAGAGGCCTCGTGTCCCTGGTCGGCAGTGGCATGACTGTGTATAGCTGCGGGTACTGGTTCCACACTGCCATTTACAAATAAGGAAACCCTATGGAAGGCAGTATTCTTTACGCAGAGGGTGGTAAGGAACAAGCTGCCCGCAGAAGCTTGGATGCCCCATTCCTGGAGGTGCTCAAGGCTGAGTTGCATGGGCCTGGGGCAGCTCTGCCCATGTCAGGGGGTTGGGACTGGGTGGGCTTTAAGGTCTCTTCCAACCCAAGCCTGTCTGTGGTTCTATGATTTGCTCTGTGGTGGCTGCTTAGGGTGGAAAAAAGGCGGCAGTGCTAAAAAAGCACTGTGATGGTCACCCCAGAGCAGCTGGGGCAGTGGTGAGCGGTGCACGAGCTCCTTCATCCCCTCTGTGGGACTGCCGGCCCTGCTGCAGCCCGAGCACGCCAACGGTTTCTATAAACTCTCCAGCAAATATTTGGGAATGCTGAACATATCTGCAGCGGCTGGGATTCCTGTTCATACACTGTTTATGAGCTAGTGTTTAAATTCAAAGGGTAATGTGCTGTCTGTAAATTATTCTGGCCTCTCCAGTGGCAGTCATGGAGTTAGTTTGCTTAACTTCCAATCTATAGCTTCTGATGGGATGGGGGAACCACAAAGCTACAGAGCTCCTTTGTCCTCTTTCTGGCTTACGGGGGCTGGAGTCCACTTCTCCATGATGAACATTTTCCATTCTCAGTGCTTTTCTATAAAAGAAAACATTTCAGTAGTGAGCCCCTTTCATTTCTCACTGCACAGCTACCATTGCCCCCTCTTGGCTTTTGTTTGCCCACAGACCAAGATCTCTATGTGAATATCGCTGCCACCAAGAACAACCTTTCTGAAGGGGACACCCTGTGGCTCAGTTGCACGCTGGAAGCCCAGAGGAGTGACAGCAGACACTTAGAGGTGGCTTGGGTTCTCAACAGCACAGAAGTGGCCAGGATTGACCCCCATGGGTTGCTGATTTGGAAAAAGGAATATGAGGAAAGAGCCAGCTTGGGGCAGCTCCATGCATTCAAACAAAGCAATGCAATTTACATTCTCACTATCCGTGAGGTGGGGCTGGAGGACAGCGGGGCCTACCACTGCTCTGTTTTGGAGGTGAAGGCTCCTGGGAGTCTCCAGAGCATCCAAACCAACCTGTCATCAGTTCTCAGAATCAGTGTGAAGCCTATTGGTGAGTAAATCCTAATGGTTCTTCTGGGTGAAACCTACAGAGATGACTGGCTGAGGAATGCACTGAGTCTGGCCTTGCCTTGGCAGGCGCAGCTCAGCTTCTGTTGCTGCAAGAGCACCAGTGTGCCACGTTTTTCAGATGATAATGGGAAAAGTATTTGCTCTGACAAATATCAGCATGATGGGGGCGGCAGCAGCCAAAATGAAGCATACAACTTTAGCCCGGTTCTTTGCAATCAGTTTAGGACAAGAAGTTAGAACTGTGGGAGGCTGGGTGCTTGGGGACCCTGGTGGTAGACCAGGAGACAGGGCAGGACAGGAACTGTGGCTAGGGCTGTAAGAGCAGAATAAAGCTCAGGAGAGGAGGAGTGTGATGGAGGTTTTGTCATGCTGACGAGGTTCACAGAGTGCAAAATGAGTTTGAGAACTGGTGTGAGGTGTGTCGTGAGATGCCCTGGATGATGGTGAAGATGTGGGGGTGGTGCAGGGTGGCAGAGGGCAGGACTTCTGTCCCATCACCATGGGCTTTTTCCCTCTCAAGCAGGTCTTGGACTACGTGCCACACTGAGAAGCCGAACAGCCACCGTTAGTTACGCACAGAGCTTTGAGCTTATCTGCCATGTGAGCGCCAGCTGCCCAGTTGAGGAGTTGCTGCTGTCCGTGGGGTGGCTCTTCCAGCCCAAACCACCCACAGATGGCTACCAAGAGCTAGTGCGTGTCCTTCCTGATGGCACCGTGTCCTGGGGACCAGCACAGCCCCGCTTCCAGGGCAGAGCTCAGCTGATGAAGGCAGGTGCCTTCTCCCGGCTGCACATCCACAGTGCGATGGCTGGCCATGCAGGAACGTACCAGTGTGAAGTGGGAGTCTGGAGGACGCTTCAGGGGCAGCGTGCTGTCTCCTTCATCTCCAACCCTGTGGGGATAAAGGTCGTCCCACCAGGTGAGTGGTGCTGCCGGTGCTTCTTATGCAGTTCCTTCAAACCTCTTGGTCACAACTAAAACAGCTGATGGCTGGGTGTCACAGTAGGGTTGTCTCTGGGACTGCATAAGGTGCTGCTCATCCTGCTTCTTCCTTTGGATTTTAGGGGTCGCAACCCAGTGAATTGAGATCATGCTTTTCCATGCTTTCTTCACTGATGTGTTTGCTATAGCCTATGCTAACGCATTTCCTTCCCTTCTCAGTTTCACAGTACTCTTCCCCCTACACCCTTGGCGCTCTCTGTGGAGTTGGATGCTGGGTGCTGTTTTACATTCTGAGGAGGTCAGAGGACAGTGATGCAGCTGAAGGGACTGAAAAATGTGGTTGTGAGCATGCAGCAGTGATGTAAATGTTATTAAGATAAGCAAGTGTGATCATAGTCTCTACAGAGCAGACAGCAAGACATGATGACATTTGGCTTCAGACTTACTGCAGCCATTGCTGGACATTGTGCAGATGTTATGAGAAAGGCCATTCCCTTTCACCCTCAAGTTGTGCCAGGGGAGGTTTTAGTTGGATATCAGGAAATATTTCTTCCCAGAAGAGTGGTGAGGCAGTGGCACAGGCTGCCCAGGGAGGTGTTGCAATCACCGACCTTGGAGGTGTTCAAGAACCGTGTGGATGTGGCACTGAGGGACGTAGTTAGTGGGCATGGTGGGGAGGATGGGTCAATGGTCAGACTGGGTTATCTTAGTGGTCTTTTCCAACTCTAATGATTCTGTTCTGGGAATGCGTGATCCACGTGGGTGACCAGATGGCTGCTGACTAGTGCTGCTTCTCTATGAAAGGTGGTAACATAAGCCATGCAGTATGTTTAGAAGGTTCAGAATAAAGCTGAAGAGGGACCTGCTCTAGCAGCAACAGGTTGAGACTGTACTGCAGAATGTAGTCCTCCTAATCACAAAACTTACCAACCTGTTCCTCTGCATGTGAAATCTCCTGAATGGAGCTCTCTGAGATACTCAAGTTCACGATCTGTGTTTCAGTGTTTTATCTACCATTCTGTGTTGCTGTGTACTTCAGAGGTTTAAATGGTGCTGTGGGCCTGGCCTTATGACTCCGGGCAGGAAGAACATGTGCAGAAGGTCACAGTGGGAGGGGGAAAGGAGGATAGATAGATCTTCCCCCTCCTTTACTTCTTGCCCTCCCCTGTTCCTCCAGGGCAGTGCAGTGTGCTGTGAGATGCATGGCAGCACTTGCCAGTCCCCTGGGATGGTCACTTCCCAGACCTCCCAGTGATCATTACTGCAAAATCTGCACTGCTGAAGCGTTGGGCGGTAAGCAGATGTTGGAACTTATGGACATGCTGTGCAGTGTGTGGCTTCAGGTTAATAACCGCTGCGAGCATTCAAGATGGTGCCTGTTGGCAAAACCACCAGGGTTTTTTTGTTCTTTCATTTCAGAAAGCCTGCTGCAGGTGGCTACAAGGGAGACCTCCGTGGAGGTGGCTGGCGGTGCTGATGCAAGCATCGAGTGCAGAATGGAGTTCCCCCTGAACAACTCTCAGCTGGCTATCAGCTGGTACTACATACCTCCTCCTCCAGCAGATGCCACCCCCATGCAGATCGTACGGGCCAGCCACACTGGCCTGCTAGAGTATGGGGCTGGGTTCAGCTCCCCAACGCAGAAGTCCCGGTTCCTAAGCCAAAGAGTGTCCAGCCATGTGTTCCAGCTGCGGATTCTCTCGGCCAGCCCTGGGGACCAGGGCCAGTACTGCTGTGCGGTGGAGGAATGGCGCTGGCTGGAGGGTGGCTGGTACGGCCTTGGAGAGCGGTGGTCGGGGAGAACCAGGCTGCTGCTCCAGCTGCCAGGTGAGCTGCTGGGGGAAGGGAGGGGAAGTTCTGTCTGAAGGGGCCTCTAGCAGGGTATGGGAGAAACAAAGGTTCCCGCACAGAGTGGAGATATTGGGATTCTTTGCCTGGAGTGTGCCTTTCAAAGGGAAATGGGGAATTAGGAGGATTTGCCACATCCTCCCAAACCAATCGAGCTGGTATTTGTGCCTCCAGCAGCAGATGTCTAATACCTCACAACAAAGAGAACCACAGCCCTTGCTTTCCTATGTGACACGGTGTCCTTGGGCAGCGGTGCAGTGCTGGATACAGAGCAGCAGCCTTTTCCCAGTGCTTCTGGGTGTCCAGATATAAAGCTTCTCCTATGCTGGGGCATGCAGCCAGAGAGAGCAAGGCTGAGGGCTCAGCTGGGCTTCCTCCTTGGGTGCTGCACCTTTGGGATGTGCAGGGTGGGGGGTTCTTCCCCCATTCAATGTCTCATTTTCAGCCTCAGATGATCTAGACTCTGGCTTACTAAATATTCTTTGGTGCAAAGGATGTTTATTGGGAAGAGGACAGGGGGTGGGGTACAGAGATGGTGGGGGGGAAAAAACACCGCAGACAGAATGAGTCACAGAGACAAGGGAATCCATGGTGTCCTTCAGAGGCACATGCATAAGACTATCCAAGTTCCCAGACTTCCATCAGGAACAAGCAGGAGTGCCTCCATAGCAGTGCACAATGCTGTGACAGCTCTTTCTGCTTCCCTTTCCCCCCAGAGAGTGAGCTGCATCTGGAGAAGGCCAACAGCAGCATCTTGGCCAGGCACGGCCAGGAGGTGACACTGGGCTGCCTGCTGAAAAGCACGCTCCTGCCTGCCGCCCGCCTCTCGGCCACCTGGTTTCATGGGAAGGAAGATGGCCACGAGAGGCCCCTGCTCACCCTGAACCACGATGGTGCCATTGAGTTCCTGCAGGAGGGGCAGGTGGGGAGGCTGCAGCTGCGGCGGCCCACTGCTGGTGATCTGAGCCTGACACTGGGCAGCGTGCAAGAGGACGATGCCGGGACGTATCACTGCCGGGTGGAGGAATGGCAGCAGAGAGGCAACAAGGATAAGTGGGAGCTGCAGACCTGGGCGCTCTCAGGGTACACCCAGCTCACCACCACCCCACCAGGTAATGGCACACAGCCACTTGCCTTGCACTCCTCCCCCCTGCCCCCCACCACCACCCTTAGCTTGCTGGGGTGCATCATCCATCCTCCTTATTTTGCTGCAGTGCAACTAGGGATGATAGCAGTGATGGGAGGACTTGCTAAGGGACCTCAGTGAGGTCGTCCTGGGAAGACTGACCTGGATTGAGAAGTAGGGTATGGAGGAGAAGAGCAATGCAAAATGGCACATGCTGGGAGTAACATCCCAGCCCTATCCGTCTGCCAGTTCTTGTTCTGTAAGTGCTGGAGGTGGAGGTCTGGTAGGATGCCAAGAGTTCCAGCCATGAGTAAGATGTAGTCCTGAGCAGGGTACTGCTGACTGTCACTGATGGATTGCAGGCTCTCTGCAGGACCACATATCACCAGCCCTGCTCTCAGACCAACCATTTGGGCTAGAATGCTAACTGTTTTTCAGAGAAAAAAATCTTGTTGCAATTTTTTTTTGGCATCTCAGTCTTTGGTTGAGGCCTTAAAAAACAACCACTGTCCTCTTAGGGTGTGTGAAATAGACTGGATTCAACATCTAGGAGCTTAAATAAATAAAAGGAAAGGTTTCTGTCAGGCATACAAAATGTTTTTAGGGAGGTAACTGATAGGAAAAAAGTACTCTCTTGACACCTTGTTGGGGAAAAAGGAGGCACGGATGACCCACACAGAGGAAGAAATATGACCTGTGAAATCAGCCATGTTGTATGCAACTGGACTGAGGTGCATGCAGCTTTGGAGCTGCCCCACTCCAACCAAATCTGGTGTCTGTAGCGGTCATTATTCCTGCTTTTACCAGCACCAATTGAGATAGAAGGGCACAGAGGGACTCATGGGTCCCCCCTGTGCCTGCTTCTGGCACATGCACAAAACTGCACCTCTGGCAGAGCTAATCTGAGTTTAACTGCTCTGCAAGGGACCGACAGCACGCCAAACCCTCTGCAGATCTCTTCTTGCTGTTGTCCATTGCAGCTCCCTCTGGCACTCAGGCTTCTCCTTCCTCACCCCCCTCCATCTCCTGTTAACTGTTACCGGTGAATAGCCATTGCTGGAATTGCTAGAAAATTCTCCTCCAATCTGATCCACGTGGTTTGATCTACATGGTTGCTACGTGGTTTTCATGGCTTTCACAAAATCTGAGATATTAGCTGGCTATTTTTCCTCTCTTTTTCATTTTATTTTGTTTATCTGGGTGATGCAGGTATCTTGAAAAGTTGTATGAGCATAATTCCACAGTCGTGCACAATGTGCCTGCAACCAGGGGTCACTTCAGCTCTGAGCCCTGATGCCCTTTTAGGATACCTCTCTAGCACCGTGGGAGCTTCTCCTGTTTTTCCTGTGGGAGAGTCAGTGCTGCTTCACCCTGTGTGGGTAAGATGTAGAAGTTGAGAGGGAGAGAGATAAAAGCCAGTTTTATGGCTGGGAGCAGCTGCCAAGTTGCTTCATCCCTAGGTTCACAACTGAGCCCACCAGGCTTTGTGGGTCTCCCAGAGACAGCCTGGGATCGAAAGAGCTAGCACACCATCACGGTTCTGCAGAGCAAGCATGAAGCATCACAGCACAGCATGGGTATTGGTCAAAGAGAGAACTAAGATGGACAGAACAGACCCAAGCAAGTTGTTGTGGCCCTTCATGGTAAGCCACATCCATCTGAGATCAGTTTGTGAAGTTAAAGCTGTGTGTCATAGAATCATAAAGATTGGAAAAGACCTCCAAGATCATCCAAGTCCAACTATAAGCCCATCACTACCACGTCCACTAAACCTCATCCCTCAGCACAAAGAAAGGAGATCATAATGGTCATGACTACTGGGTGAACACAAGGAGCTTAGAACAGAAGGAACAGGCTAGCATGGGACTGATCTACCCCAGCCTTTTGGAGGAGATGGAGGGTCTACCAGAGTATGTGCATTCACCTGCAAACTCCTTGAGACCTCTTGTTTCCTTTGCTTTCCTCTCATACTTCCTTGCTCTGGAACAGCCTGTGACAGATCTTTAGCTGTCAGTGGTGTCAGGCGGGGAGCAGGGGGTGATGACTACGTGGCTTGAACAGCTGTACTGTTTCTGGTGGGATGCTTCAGCTGTGAGAGTGAGATAGGTCCCTATCTGACCTCCCAAGACAAGAAATTCAGGCATATTACCTTGTTTCTCTTCCCCTTTTTCTCAAATAACCAAGAAAATGTGGTATGAATTCTCAAAAACTGGTAGATTTGAAGGAAGAGCAAAGAAGATAACCTATAGAAACAGTAAAAAAGGGCAACTCAAAGTAGCTTGGGATCTCATTTGTTTTTCCTTCTCTGTTTTCTCCCTCCAGAGGTAACAGTTGCGTCTAGGATCTGTTCATCTCCATCGTTGCTGAACTTTATCCTATGCTTACCTCTGGTTCTGGTCCTTCTTCTGGCCCTTGCTGGCTTCTGCTGGTGCTTCATCTCCAGGAAAAGAAAAAAGGGCACCATAAGAGGAAACCAGCTGATGGAACTGCAAGGGGCTGAGGAGATCAAGCAAACTTAGCTGGCCTGTAATGGGAGGTGTAACTTGAAGAAAAGGAACTGGACTTTTGAGAGGACCAAGTACTTGAAGAGGGGTGGCTTGTTGTTTTGCTGTAGCTTTTGCAATGAATACTTGAAAATGTTTGTTTACTTTCAGTGAAACAAAACAGCTCTGAGTTACTGAGCAGATAAGGTTTTCAAAATGGATGTTCCTCTCTCTTAGATTTGGAACCCACTCACATGTTCACTGTTGTGGCTGCTTGTGGTGTTTGAGGTGCTTGTGGTATGAATGTCCACTGCTGCTGTGTGGAAGTGGTATTCTTTTCAGGTGTAAAGGGGAAAACTGGTTTTGCCCTGGAATACAAAAGTATTAAACTGCTGCTCATTTTAAGTCAATTTGACAAAATCTGTGCAGTGCCCAGCTAAAAATCCTTGGCAGCACTGCAAATGGAGCGCTGGCATATCGTTTAAGGCACTGCACTTGCCTTTCCCATCCCTTGCTGGAGGAGAATTCGGACACTGTTGCCATCTGGTTCTGGGAGACCCTGTGCCCAGAGATCATCTCCAAAAGGAAATGGGTCTTCGTCACAAAACCCACTGCAGGAGGTTGAGAACTGAGCAAGGCTGGCCATAGAATCACAGAACCATTTGAGCTGGAAGGGACCCTTACAGGCAATCTAGTCCAGCTCTCAATTATCAGGGACACCTATAGCTAGATCACGTTGCTCACAGCTCCATCTAGGGCTGAGGGGTGAGCCCTGAAGGAAGGCCATAGACTACTTGGGAAGCTCTTGCTTCTCTGTTCAGCCACTTCAACCTTTTCCTGCAAGTGGTATTTTTTTCTCCACCTCTTACAACTTCTCTGCTGTTTGTCTGAGTCATATCTCGATAATGTTTCACCAGTATCATGCTCTCTCTCAGTATTTTCCTTCAGATGGTTTCCATAGCTTGCTCATAAGAGTATCTTGGGAATGTATTTCAGAGGCCTTGCTAAAGTCAGGAACGTGTGCTGCCTGCTGCTTACCCCTATAGAGAGCAAGAAGGTCTCCCCTGAGTCTCCTCCTTCGTACTGAGCAATCAAGTTCCCTCAGCCACTCCTCATAAGACTTGTGCTCCAGGTGCTCGCAACTCCGTTGCCTTTCTCTGGACATGCTCCAGGGCCTCCATGTCTTTCTTGTAGTGAGGGGCCCAGAACCAAACAAATGATCCGTCCTTGTTTAAACAACAACAAAAACATTTCTGTTTTTTGAATTCTTCTAAGTGCCCTGAGTGCTTTTTTTTTTTTTTTTTTTTTGCCTTTGCATGCCTCTGAGGACTGTAGTTAGGAAGATGTGGGTTTCATTTTCTGCTTTGTATTTTCTTGTTGCTCAGTGTCTCACACCACAACCGTGTGGCTTCACAGCCTGTTCTTCACATGTCTTAGTGTGAGCCTGATCAAGATGAGCCTTCTGCTGAAAAATCTACCTTGTTGGGATCGTTATCGCTCGAGTGGTGTCATAGAGGAACCCCCATGTTGCTGCTGTGGCTGAGTGTGGGTTGGTCTATGTAGGCTGTGTGAGTCCTTGGGGTGGCTGTGCTGGACTTGCGGAGTCCGTGCTGCCCCTGGCTTGGCCGCCACATTGTTCTATGGAAGTGACTGCTGGCATCTAACTGCTGTGTAAGGAGCTGCAGACTCAGCTGTAACGTGAGATTGTACATCTGGTGGAGTGAGGGAAGAAGGTGGGCAGGGAGGGGGAGATTTCTCCAGCCATAGGACACTCCTTTCTTTTTCTGCCCCCTTTTTTTTTTCTCAGCCAGAGGCCAAAGTAGCAGTTTTCCATTCACGCAGGTTGAGAGGTTTTAACGTAGTTTTGAGAAATGTGCCCGGAGCCCTGATGAAAGGGTCTGTAAGAAGAATGCATGTGTGTGTTTGCGGTGGGGGGTTTTTCTTTTTTTTTTTTTTTTTTTTTTCCTTCTGGTTTTGCTGGGTTGCTGCCAAACCTTTTGGCTATGTTTTTTAAGACGTATTTTTTTCCACAAGTGGCCTTAGAGTTGTAACTTATCCCAGTTAAAACTGCAGAACGATCCTGTTTTCAGAGAGGACTTTTCGTTTGGCTGAGGCAAGCGGAGGAGAGGGAGAGAAAGGAGCATGGGGTGGGTCAGGAGTATGGTAGTGGGTGGTAGAAAAGTCTGTGGTCCTTCAGGTCTTGTATGTATCTTGACAGGGCGACAAGGCAACAAAGAGTTGGGCCCAAGAGGAATGAATTAGCTGTGAAAAACTTGTGAGGGGTTACAGAAACACAGAGCTGCACTGTGCTGGAAGCTTTGAGGGGTCTGAAGTTGCTCTCCCTGTGCCATCAGAAATCAATCCCAGGCTGCTTCTATGCTGTTCTCCAACAGGGTAAGGAAGGTCTCGTGCAGCTCTGCTGCTTGGCAGACCTTCCTCTGCAGAAGATGGATGGTGTGAGGGGTCAGGTGGGAACACGTGCGCTGCGTTGCCTTCCTGGAATGCTTTTCTGGCTCTGCCTTTGGGAAGGAGCGAGGCCAATGCTTGATGACCACACAGGGAGTTTGTGCAGTATGCGGTGGCACAAAGGGTTGCCCGACTGACTCTCTTGAAGATTGGTCTCCTGAGGGCCTTTTGCTGCAAGACTGTGAGGAGGGAGGCTGGGTGGTGAGGTGGGTGCTGTGCAGGTAGCAAATGGCTTGCAGGCAAGGAGATGCTTTGCATCCTCTTGCAGATGATGGCTCAGAATTTCCTATAGTGCTCCGCTCTCTGTTAGAAGAGAACAATGGAGCAATGTGCTGCCCTGGTGCTTCCAGGGCAAGGCTGTTGAGGAAGTTTTCCCAACTTTCCAGAAGTGCTTCCAGGCAAACAACTTCCACTTCTTTTGGGATGCCCGCTCTGAAGCAGTGTGCCTTCATTCCTTCCTGTTAACTCTGAGTTGCTTTAGAAATTTGACATTGTTTTCTTCCTGTGATAAAGTATTTTAGAACTGGAAATAAAAGATGCTTTAGTCTCACTTTATGCCATTCTGCATTCAAACTGGGTCCTTGCAGCCCCTGCCTGTTTCACATGTCCTTCAGCCCTGGCCTTTGGCATCTAACGCAGAGCAGAATCACTCCTGGGGCTCTAACCCTTCCTAAACTGCTGAGAAATCACTGTGCCGCATCTGCCTGCTGCCAGCATTCAGCCCTTTGCCTCTGCTTCCCTGCCTCCCCCTTCTCTTCTTCCAGCAGATAGTGGATGACAGTCCTGTTGCACAGGGCAGGAAAAGGCAATAATTGCTCTCCAGCAGTGCTTTCTAAGGCAGAAGCAGTGCAAAGAGTGGGGCTCAAGGAGGATGTGGGAGAGGCAATGCAAGCAGGCAGGAGGAACTGGCCCCGTGTCTCTTCAGGCAAAAAGGGGCTGCTTGTAGTGCTGTGGGGTAAGCAATATTGATGTCATCCACCTGTTTTTTAAGAATATGTACATAGTTTAGAACAAATGCAAGCCTATTTCCCCAGCAGGTTGTATTGAGAAATGCAAATGGAAGCAGAGTCCAGGTTACTTCTGCAACCCAGACAAGAAACAGAATACTGCAAACAGCAATTTTGAGCATGTTCTTTGGAGGTATCTTGCTTTTCATTCATTATGTCTTTTCCTGTAGGTTTCTAAATGTAGCTATGTGCTTATAAATGATGCTGAGCCTGGATATTTGGTAAAGGGAGAGAGAGGAGGAGCTGCTCCTCACCATCCCTGGAGCCAGTCCTCACGTGGCTGCCCCAGACTCTTCCTTGGAGAACACTGATGATGAAGCACTGTGGGGTGGCTGTGAAGCAAGAGGTGAGCTGGTGTTCAGCCTCATGCCTGCTGTCTCTCCTCATTGTAGGGCTGGGAGAGCATTCATTGCTTGGACTTCCAACCAAGTGTGAAAATTCATAGGTCAGGGGGTGGAAAAAAGGCTGCTATTAGTGTTATTTTAAGCGCTAGGGAATGAATTGGTGAGTGCTGGGAGCAATATGGAAAAGCAAGAGAGGCAGTGCCTCCTTGCAGCCCCTTCATGGGGCAGTGATGCTGAGGAGAGGATCGCTGCCCGATTTGAAAGAGAATAGGGCCATGACCAATCGCTGTGAAATGTGGCAATAATGGCTTGCGCAGTGGCCGTGGGATAAAAGGCAGGGACAGTCTGAACTGTAAAGATGTTTCATTTCCCTGGTAATGAGGGAGACACACTGTGGCAATGGAACCAGAGAGAGAGAGAGGCCGTGAGATGCTAATTTCTGCTCCTGCTGCCGCTGCCGCTTTGATCTGAAGCAAATGCCCGTTTTAAATTGCAAACGGATGCAAGTCAGATATCATCCAGCCACTGGCTTACAGGCTTAATGAAGTGGGACGTACGCCTTGGCCTGATAATGCTCGGAGAGGCAGGCATCTCAGAGAGGAATTACTGAGGGTCTGAGGAAATGGGAGGAGGGCTGGGGATGTCATGGGGGAAATCACCACCAGGGGCACAAAGCCTCCTGCTTGGTGTTCTTGGCAAACTGGCTGAGTCCATCATCCTCTATGCTAACAGAAAAGATATGAGTGTGTTGCCCTGCTGTTATGTGTCCTATGTTTCAAGGCATTTTGAACAGGTCACCAAGGCTATGGTGCTCTTTGGTCTCAGAATGGGCATCAATTTAATGCTCACTAGATAAGCACCAAACTTATGAAAGAGAAACCAGCTCATTTTGTGCTATCGTTTGGGCATTTAATCGGACTTTAGAAAGACAATGTTGAGACTCTGTTGATAAGGCTGCTCTGGGTCTGCCCAGAGGCCCTGGGGAACAAGTTCACCATGCCAGCAGTGATCTGGGAGCATGGTAGCTCACACTGGACAACCCCGTCTTGAGTCTCATGCGAAGATCTACCTGTTTTGAAGAATTAATGTTGAAAGGGATAGAATCACAAAATTCTTAAAAAGACTGCTTGGATCACCCAGTCCAACCACCAACCCACCCCACCATGCTCGCTCTCAGTGCCACATCCACGTGGTTCTTGAACACCTCCAGGGACGGTGACTGCACCACCTCCCTGGGCAGCCTGTGCCAGTGCACTGCCACTCTTTCTGAGAAGAAATGTTTCCTGATATCCAACCTGAATCTCCCCTGGTGTAACATGAGGATGTTCCCTCTCATCCTGTCGCTGGTTAGATACTTATTACACTCTTCATTAAGGCAACGCACTTGGGTCCTACTGTCAAGCCAGAGTTTGTTGTGTACCTGAAGTACCTCCCTGCACAGGAGCAATGGGATACATAAAAAGCTAACTGAAAGTAAATAGTCTCGTCACCCAGGCATT